CCAGGGAGAAGTTTGCTGCAGGGGTGAAGCCCTCATGGAGGACCTCTGCCAGGGCAGTGTGCAGGGGAAATGAGGGGCTGGAGCCCCCACACAGAGTCCCCACTAGGACACTGCCTAGTGGAGTTATGAAAAGAGGGCCACTGTCCTCCAGACCCCACAATGGTAGATGTACTGACAGCTTGCATAGTACACTGGAAAAGCCACAGACACTCAATGCCAGCTGTGAAAGCAGCCAGAGCAGGGGACGGTATCCTGCAAAGCCACAGGAGTGGATCTGCCCAAGGTCATGGGAGCCCACCCTTAGCATCAAATGTGCCCTGGATGTGAGACATGGAGTCAAGGGAGATTATTTTTGAGCTTTAAGATTTAATGATTTAATGACTACCCTGCTGGATTTTGGACTTGCATGGGGCCTGTAGCCCCTTTGTTTTGGCCAATTTCTCCCATTTGGAATGTAAGCATTTATCCAATTATTGTGCCACCCATTGTATCTTGGAAATAACTAACTTGCTTTTAATTTTACAGGCTCCTCGGTGGAAGGGACTTGCCTTGTTTCAGATGAGACTTTGGACTTGGACTTTTGGGTTAATGCTGAAGTAAGACTTTGGGGGACTGCTGGGAAGGAATGATTGTGTTTTGAAATGTGAGGACAGATACAGCGGCTCATGTCTGTAATCCCAGCACTTTGGGAGGCTGAGGTGGGTGGATCACTTGAGGTCAGGAGTTTGAGACCAGCCTGGCCAATGTGGCGAAACCCTATTATCTACTAAAAATACAAAAAATGAGCCAGGTGTGATGGCAGGTGCCTGTCGTCTCAGCTACTTGAGAAGCTGAGGCAGGAGAGCCACTTGAACCCGGGAGGCAGAGGTTGCAGTGAGCTGAGATTGTGCCACTGCACTCCAGCCTGGGCGATGAAGTGAGAATCTGTCTCAAAAAAAGAATAAAAAAAAGAAATGTGAGGACATGAGAATGAGATTTGGGAGGGGCTAGGGCAGAATGATATGGTTTGGCTGTGTCCCTACCCAAATCTCCCATTGAATTGTAATCCCCCTAATTCCCATGTGTCTAGAGAGGGATCTGGTGGGAGGCGACTGGATCATGGGGGCAGTTTCCCTCATGCTGTTTTCCTGATAGTGAGTTCTCATGAGATCTGATGGTTTTACGAGCATTTGACATTTCCTCCTCCACATGCTCACATTCTCTCCTGCTGCTTTGTGGAGAAGGTGCCTGCTTCCCCTTCTGCCAGTCCCTTTCTGCCATTTCCCTTCTTCCATGACTGTAAGTTTCCTGAGGCCTCCCTGGCCATGCAGAGCTGTGAGTCAATTAAACCTTTTTCCTTTATAAATTACCCAGTCTCGGGTATTTCTTTACAGCAGGGTGAGAACGGACTAATACACCAACTAAAGAAATGCATTTGGGGCACCGCAAGAAGCTCAGAGAAACCACAGAAGATATGAAAAAAAGAATCAGGGCCAATGAAACATGGACAAAATTGATCCTACTTAATCCAAGTGACAGGAAGTTAAAGACCTACTCCTTAGTCTAATGGAATACCAAATCTGGAGTCTGGGGATTGTCAAAGTGAGTGACGTGTAAATTTATACTTCCCATGTTGATCAGTTAATCATCAATTTGTTTTATTATGTTACACTCTTGCCTACTTCAAAAAAGTCTTTTAGTAGTAAGGGAAGAGCAACTCTAATTTCATACAATTATTTTCACTTGGTGCCTAAGAAATAGCACAAATATAAAATCTTTTCTATTCATTTTAATTAGATTTTATAGACCAAAAAGTTGGATTTTCCCCCTTTCATCAGATGAGAATGAATGAATGACTTTCTCCCTGGAGAAGGCTATGTATTTTCTGCGCTTCAACCTAAATATTATTTTCCCCATAGTCTCCATCAATATCTTAATAATTGGCAACTGAATTTGTAGTTTTGTTGGTACCCAGAAAATTGCCACTTATTATAACAATATTGTGGCCAGAAGATGCATGGAAATTACCAACCAGTCAAATGTGCTCCAGTGTAGAATCCCACATGTGATTTAGGTAGGTACACCATCTTTGTACAGTTGGTCTCAAGATAACTGTCTTAGTTTAAACAAAATATAAAATAGATCTGAATGGCTTCCTGGTCAGAATATTTGCCTGTTTTTTCCAGCCTCAGTTCATGTATTCAACTAGTTGTTCCATTCAGATGATATAGGTTATACTTTGACTACAGCCTCCAGCCAGAAGGAACAAGAAATCCAGGAGGAGACAGAGTCTGGTATCAGTGTCAGCTTTAAGATCTGACTCAGTCTGTAGGGACTTAAGTGACAATATTACAGAGTATTCATTTGAAAATGGGGAAAATGCTGCTATGTAAAAAGGAATGCATTTAGAAAATCATTCAACATGCAGACTCTGATGAAGAGCTTAAACTTTGTTTCATTCTACTGTTTCTTTGGTTATATAAACAGGGAATTGTTCCCTAGAAAAAAAGGTGGCCTGGCAGCCCTGGTCTTCACTATAAAAGCAGAGATGCCCTGGCACTGCTGCTTGGCCATTGTATTCCTTTTAGCAAATCATTAACCACTCTCAGTTTTCTCAGGATCGCATGTAGTCATAGGGATAACTTACTGTCAGCCTCCCCTCCTCACCTATGAAGTGGAGAGCCCACACCAACTACCTCAGGAGTTAATAAATAACTCACACAGAGTGTGGTACAAGGGTGGGTTTGAATTTAAGGCAGTTCCTTTCCCCAACCACCACCCCACCTCAGTATTGGTGTGGCATTCTGCCCTTGCTTTATACTCTCATTTGAAAAAATATAACAGGGTCCAATTTCACCTCTTAAACTAATCTGGCTCCCTTTTTTCAAACTTCTAATTTTGGAAAGAAAGCCAGAGTAGTCCTTTCTACTTTCTTCTGATATTCCTTGAAAATACTTCTCCTTCATAGCAAAGATAATTAAACAGCTTGGTTCCTTCCCTACTGTGAAATATTGAGCTTCATTTCAGGACCAAAGGACATAAACCGGTTTATGACATAAACAGGTTTAGACCATCTGCAAAAGACAGGACAGAGATTGCATATTGTATTTACTAGGAAAAGAGATTTACACTGACACTTTGGAATAAGATTGTATGTACTTAGTTCAACTAAGTACTGAAAAGTCTTATATATTATATATATTTTTTACTTTGAAAAAATAATGCTTTGCCATGGTGATAGTTTTATGTTTCATATCTTTAAATAGGTGGGGGAATGAATGGAAATTTGCTTTCGCAGCTTTTCAACTATACTGTGTTTTTAATAGATACTTTCTTTCAGTAGTATGCTGTGTATTTAAGCCTGCAAAATTCTTCTAGGGTATTTCTGAATCCTGTTGTGTACGTGTGGGTTGAAAGTTCAAACATCTCATCTCCTTTAGTATTTAGTTGCTCACTTTATTGTTAGAGAAACTGGTAGCCAGGTATCCTTTCTCTATTTTCTGCCATAAAGCCTTTTATAATTCAATTTCTTCTCATCACACCTCTGATATTGACTTTGGAAGCAATGGCCATAGAAAAAATGTTCTTACTCAAACCATCTAATTGAGAAATAACTGACTCATGTCTACTCTCTAAGTTCGGGGCCAGTGTGGTGCTGTAATTTTTTCCCATAACACTAAAATTCCACTACAAGTGGAATTAAAATCCTACCCATATTTAAGAAAACAAACATGAAAATGTGTGTGCATGTGTGTGTGTGTGTGTGTGTGTGTGTGTGTATTCTTTTCCTAGGACAGTGTTCATCTTCATATGTTAATTCTGTCATTTAGTAAAATCTCATTCTCCTTTCAGTAAACCTGTAACCTTACGTCTTTCCCAAACCTTGCCAATTGGCAAACACCTCTTTGTAGAGGTTCCATAGTTCTCAGATCTGCTAGCTTCACTCTGTGGACCTCCAAATACAGTGAAAAAGAGAATGTGACCAGGGAAGAGAGGACTGTTAGACTCAAAAGCATTTTTGTTTAAATCTAGCAACAGGTTGTACTCCATTGCATATTTCAGGGCAGATAACCTGATGCATCCTGGTTCCTTGTTCGCACAGCTCACCACTGAGGAAGCACATCTGTGAATTCCCTATTCAAATTTGGTTGCCTCTTTAGTATGACTAAAACATGGGGACATACTCGTCTCTAAATAAACAGTACTGCTTGTTTCTTCTAATGACATATCAGCTCATTATTTCTAAGCCATGGAAATCTTTGCAATTTTAATAATGTAAACTAGCTCCCTAATCTCTGTGAAAGGGTCCTTGAAGCATGAAGTATATAGCTGTCCAACCCACTTCCATAATTCATGTTACTTTACACATAAGTTTAGTAGCTTACACTGTATTAGCATTAACTCTAGACATAATAGATGGAATTATGAGATCACATGTGCTAATGTAATAAATTTTTGTGTAAGACAAAATGTTATTACATATTTCTTGTCTGACAGAATTGTACAGTGTTTCCTACTAGGTCTGAAGTGCACTCTAGAGGATAAATGATACAGAAGGTATCTAAGTATTCAAGAGCCTTACAAACATTCTCCCTGGAAATACAAAGAGTAGAGACAGTTATTAGATGGAGGTTTTCATGCTCACAGTCTAAACTGGGTCTAATTGTTGCCATTACAACTAGAGAGCAATTTCAATAGAACATCTACCTTCTGAGGGGCAGTATGGCAGTTCATTTCAGTGTAAGACTGAATCTGGCTTTGCATATTTGGGAAAAAAAACTTATGGTTTTTGAGTGTAGATTTTTTGTTTTTTTTTTTTTAAATGAAAGCTACATATACTTTACTAGGCTATTGTCATTACATTTTTTAAAATGATGACTTACTTGTATTTTAAAAAGATGTTTAACATAGAGTTTCTAACTGACAGATCTGGAAACCAATCTGAATTGGACATACTATGGCTTCAATGCACAGTATAAGTTTTCTCATATTGCTACCTTAACATGAATTTGATACCCAACTTGAAAACAATCCCATAAAAATTTATTCATGGCCCGTTTAAAATTGCAATAGTTCAGTAAAACTCCAATTAAACAATTGCCCATTAACTTGTTATTTAAAATACAGACTTAAAAACCAATAGACTTTTTTTGGTGTGTATGCAATTGCTTTTATAAGCACAGGTTAGGTTGGAATAAGGAAGTCCTAGTTCATCATGCTGGAGCTTGTCCTCGCTGCTGCAGGCTGTTGAAGTGAGCCTCCTTCAAGATCTGGTTGATGTGGGAATAAAGACCTTGGCATGGTGCATACCCCTCGTGCAAGAACTGGGGAATGTTTGTATTGGGTTCAGTAACAATCTGGTTTAAGTTGCCTTCTGGTCCATTTCCTCTCTCTGGGATATTAATGTAGCTGCTGCTCCTTTCCTTATCATTGCATGAAAACTGGAAGGAAAAAGACAGAAAGGGGATTGCTATTATGCTATTACAATATTTTTCCCACTTGGCTTGGAGAATAGCAGCATAAAAACTCTATACTGGGCTTAATGGTTTTTATAAAGTAGAGCCATTTAAGATAGTTCATTCTATCCTCACAACAATCCTTCAATTAAGTTGGGATTAACAGACCCCATTTTACAGATGAGGAAACAGATCACTACCTTGTCCAAGGTCACAGAGCTAGGAAGTGGCAGGGCGAGCATTCAAACACAGGCCTTCCAATTCCAAATCTCTTCACACATTCTCTACCCTTGCGTGTACCATTTATTCCAATAACTAGATCAGAGAAGTAAATACTTATCTTCCACCTGAAGTATCAATTAATATTAAGGATGTAGTAGAAATTATGATCATAACAAGTAAGATGGACTATGGGTAAAAGTTACAATAAAGCAAATAAGACACATACATGCATACACACATAGATACAAATAAACAATGATTTTGTACACATATCCTGATAGTGGACATGTATGGTCCTCCTATATCAATTCAATACTACATACATATCCTGAAAGGCATTTGATCTACTTTTAGTCAAAGTTACATGTTACTTGTTCGCATTTTATGACTAGCATTCATTGTTCTTCTATATTTATGGATTCAATAGGGTGCGTATTTCCTCTTAAGATCTTTTTTTTCATTGAACTAATATGACTCAGTATCTTTTTTATGGTGGAGAAGGTACTCAGGGATCCCTGTAAACAGTCATTTCCAAAAATTTCCTGCCTTCCAATGTTATAATTCTCAAAAGAATAAGGTAATGACAAGGACTCTTGTTCAAATTACAATATTAACAATGCTGGCATTATGGTTCTTCTAAGTAAGTATTTTCCAAAGGTAACATTAGTAAGACTTAAACCAAGAATGGTCATAGTCCATAGGTCATTTACAGCTGCTCAACTTAGGTCACACAGTACACTGCCCACAGGTACCAAGAAACAACCTATGCTCATCATCATCCAATTAGAAACATACGTTAAAAGAACTTGTGCAGGAAAGAGATGGGAAGGACCAAATGAAGCCAGATGTGAGAGTTAGCAATAGCAATCACATTGATTTAAGGAATAAATGTTAAGGCCAATTCAAAAAGAAAATTCAAAAAAATATTTTCCTAGGCCTGAGTATAAAAATCTAGAACTCCCACTGTCACAAAGTAATGACGTTATGAATATTCCAAAATTAAATAAGCTATTACATTGGATAAGAAACCCAAAGTCCACACTTTGGTTCCTCTTAGTTAGCTTTCCTTGTTTTTTCGGTTACAAGTACTGCCTGAAAAATCAGGAAAGAATTAAAAATCATTTCTGATGAATCAAATTTTTATTTCCAATGACAACATATTGATTTTACACTGCAGTGCAACACTGGGGTGATGCTATCCTGTGTACATTAAAAATTCATAGGCTAGAAGGGATTTCTTTAGAATAATCATTAAGAAAAAAATAGATCTACCTTTAATTTGCTTCATTTAAAAAGTTTTTAAACTCAATTGTGTACAGATATAAATAGGAATGCTCATTAACACCTTTGTATATTATCAATATTTTTTAATAGCTAAAAATCAGAAACAACTAAATATTTAAAAACAAAGTAGTTATAGTACATGCATTCATACAAGAGAATCTCATCAGCCATTAACAATAATAATAATATGTCATTCTATATCAGAAGTCTTTATACTTCAAGTTCTTAGAAAAACCTATATTTACAGGCTATAAACATAGTTAACAGAAATAACTAAATAATGACTTTCACAGCTTTCATCTGGGTAAACCATTTAAAAATTAATTAATTAGGGAAATGTAATGGAATAAATGCCTGTAAATAAACTTGTCATATAATTTAAAATCTAAAGTTATAGTAAGTTAAATAATAAATACTCATTAAAGGTCTGGATCATTTCCAATTTAAAAAAATATAGGAAAATATTTTTCTAATAAATGTTTTGTTATTTAAAAGAAAATAATTTTTGTCTAATTCAAAGGTTATTTAAAAGTTATTTGTGAAACAAGGTGAAAGTAACCAGTAAATAAGAGCAATGTAAAGAAATACCACTTTCTTTACATACTATATATTCACCTCTTTATAAATATAAAGGTATTTTTGACAAGAAAGGTTAAAGGGAAAATAATTTTATATGAGAAAGAATCTTGTATGGTAAATTTCTGTCCTAAAATAACTGGTTATTTAAGAAAGAGAGATGTCTAGGGTAAAACAGGAAGTCCAAGCATCTCATTAATGATTTGCATCAAGTTGTCTATAAAGGAAAATTATTTATAATAGTCTTTTTTTTAGAGATTAGGTTTTGATTTTTTAAAAAAAACGCTTATACACTAAAGAATTGTTAGAACAACAAAATTTTCTTAAGGTATTGTTTTACAAGGGATTTTAATTTTTTTAACCCAATTTTTAACTTTTATTATCTTGCTGTTTTCAGCTTTGTCTCCACTTTGAAAAGGCCTGAGATAATAACCATCTCCTTCAACTCATTTTCAGCTTCTGTAATTTTTTTCCACAGGTTCTAACTGTTTGCCATGGCCTGACGCTAAAAATGTTTTATCTTAAAGGTCTAAAGAAAATGTTTTCTTCCAACATAACATTCTGTACTCTTGGCTTTGAATTTTATAAATTCAAAAATTTTCACTAATTACCCAGGAAACACTCTCCCTATGTATAAATAATTCAAGTATCCTTTCCATTAGCTTTGATTTTCAGGTTACCTAAATGGACTCTCCATAGGGAACAGCAATTGCACTGCAAGAGGATTTTTTTTTTTTTTTGCCTTTTGGCAACAGTCCTAACAAAGAAATTTTACATTTTATCAAAATAACTCCCATGCCATTGTTATTAAGTTTTGATTTGCTTAGAAAAAAAATGAGGTTAAACTGTTTTTTTAAATCAAGGTTATTACATCCATGTAACTTTGTTGCTTTTAAAGTCCTTGTGCCTTTAAGTTATAGGGCTTTGACTCCTGAGCATTAAAAAGAACACCAAGTCCTGCTAAATCTTAAACAGTGACAGCAGTTAAAGCCTTATCTTCAGGCCCAGTAGAAGATGCCAATAAAAATAAACTGTTCATAAGACACAGGGCCAGAAATTAAAACTATTCAATTGCTCAAGGCCCAGGGACTATTATGGAAGAGGTGGGTGTATGAGATTCTAATGGCCAATTTTGAGAGATAAATTAGTTCAGTTTCTCTATAAATTAATCATTAACATTGAAGGCACGCTGATGCAAGACCAGCATCCGGGCCCCAAAGTCACAGTAACAAGGTTCTCTTGGAACATTAACCCACTTCTTAATTTAAAAAAATATAAAGGTTATAAAAAAGCTTATTGAAATTATATCTTATGGTCAAGATGACCAAGTCTTAATAAATTTGTTTATAAAATTTTAAAAGAGGATTTAATGGGCTTTATGCCATCTTTATTAAGGCTTATTGTTTGAGAAATTAAGTCTCCTCTCTGAAAAAATAAAGGGTTTTGTCTTTTTTGGGGAAATCTTTGAGTCATCATTTGGCTGAATAAATGACTTATTTTACAATGACCTTTGATTCTATTTTGTGATATCAAGTATTTTTAACACTTTATAGTTGACAAACTTTCCAAAATAACATTCTAACTTTGGTCCTCATTAATCTTTTGATATTAGGTCCCCTGAAGTCCAAAAGAGACATATTCAAGTTATTTGATATAATAAAATCATATAAGAAGTATTGTCAAGTATGAAATGGCATTTAACCTTTTTTTTGATTATATTTATATAAATGTGTTACTAGTACGTGTTTCGAAATTGTATGAAATTCATGTGATACTGATATGTTTTGGTACATATCAGCAGTCCCCAACCTTATTAGCACTTGGGACCAGTTTCGTGGAAGACAATTTTTTCCATGGATAGGGGAAGGAAGGTATGGCTTCAGGATTAAACTGTTCTACCTCAGATCATCAGGCATTAGATTCTCATAAGGAACATAGAGCCTAGATCCCTCACATGTGCGGTTTACAATAGAGTTCGTGCTCCTATAAGAGTCTAATGCCGCCACTGATCTGACAGGAGGCAGAGCTCAGGCAGTATCGCTCGCTTGCCCACCACTGACCTCCTCCTGTGCAGCCTGGTTCCTAAGAGGCCATGGACCAGTACTAGTCTGCAAGTCTGGCGACTGGGAACCCCTGGTATATGTTATCAGTAGTAATTATGATTATGTAAAATTGTTGTATGCCACAGAAGTAACCAAATTTCCTTGTCAATTGTGTCTTTAATTATGACAATTTTAGAACTCTTGTCATTCATGGTTGTTTTACTTTTATCATTTTTCAAAAGGTGGTTTTACAATCAGATATAGGACTCTGACAGGTGCTCTTTAATGCAGGTTTTGGGTAAGTATGGAGATTGTAATACCATAATAGAGGAAAAACTTCCAAGACTCCCACAGAGAGCTAATGTGTTCATAAACATTGAGAACAGGAGTTACTTACATAGACTAGACAATGGAAAACTGAAATAATCTTTTTGTGACTTTGAAACATTGTTTGAAATTCAGAAACTTTTGTTTCTGAATTTCTAACTTTATTTTTCTAACTTTTGTTTTTCTTTGACCTATTTTACCACTTTTTAACAAGTGGGTAAATTATGCTCTTGTGAAAAAATCTGAAGCATATTTCTCTCTACCTGATTTCTCCAGAACTTGAAAACTATTTGCAATTATATGTAGTTTATGGTAGTATAGTTATTTGCAAAAATTTGATAAGACTCTCTTTTCTTTTGTAACATGACACAATTGAAGACACTGATTAGTTTACTGAGGCTTTGATTGGAATGGCATACTTTCAGATACAAACAGATTGTTTTAAGGAATCAAAGTTGACTTATAGAACCAATAAAATCCCCTTGAGAAAGCTAGCCTCATATATTGTCTATACAGTTCCTGCACAGGTTCCTG